CGGAGCCTGCTGGGGGTCCCGAGGCGCCAGGGAATGGGGGTGGAGACGAGGGTCCAACGCCGAACCAAGAAATGCACTCGGTTTTCCGAAAGTTTCTCTTTATGTGTTTTCGTTGTCGTTCGCAGGAGGCGCAGGATTGGCTTGCCAAGGGGCTGGAGTACGACCCAGACAACCCCGTCATCTGGAACAACATCGCGGCAGTGTGGATGGACTCCCGTCGTTTTCTGTTGGTGTTGCCCCTCCTCCTCCGACTGCTTCCCTTCCGCGTTTTTGTTCGTCCTTATCCCTCCCGTGCACAAGTTGCTTCGGAAAGGCTCGAGCATCTTTCCAACCCGCCAAAAGGGCATGCAACGCCGCCCTACTTAAGCAAGGTGGGCTTGTTCAAACTTGACAGACGTGGTCTCTTCGTGTTGCTCTCTATGAAGATTGTGACCTACAACCCACTTGCGGCATCTGCGAACGAGAGGCTCGAGGATATCAGCCACGAGCCTAAGGACTGGGACATGATGTTGTTGGGTTGTACACGGAAGAAGGCACGGTCCGAAACGTGCATATTTGTCAGATCAACAAATGTTAAGCAGCAGTGTGCCCTTCTTCTTGCCACCAAGATAAAGGAGCGACAAGGGCTTAGCATTGCGATCCCAGTCTCCCTCCCGATTCCTCAAGAGTCGCTCAGAACAAGCTCCCTCCCCCTTCCGAGCAGTAGAAAGCAGAACAACAGGGGTACAGATCTCGCCGAGGACACTTGACGCATGCGTCTTCGCTGGTTACTGTGCGCTGGCGCATGTGAAGACGTGGCAGGAAATAGCCAGGATGTGATCACACATGAGATCAAACCGATGTGCGACCGACTAGGTAGCAGGTCGAGTCTCGCAATCGTGGATATATGATACAACAAGCCCACGTAGCCAACTCTTAAAGTTGTAGTTGTGCGCGCAAAGTTCGCTCTCCATAGCAGCGACTTCCCATGACATAGGCATCACATCGTATTGCACACGACTTGTTGGAGCCTCTTCTGCTGGACTGGATGTGAGTGACTGACCTCAGCCTTCTCCTGTCCAGGGTGCACGGCACCGTTCTGCTGTTCAGGCCCCCGCGAGCGAGGCTGGGGTGGCAGTGTGGCCTCCCTCGCGGCTCGCGAACCCGTCCGCCTGCCGCCTGCTGCTGGTTCAGATTCTATCCCTCCGTCTTCCCTCCCACTCCTCCTCCTCCTCTTCCTCCTCCTCCCTCCTCCTCCCTCCTCCTCCTCCTCCTCCTCCTCCTCCTCCTCCTCCTCCTCCTCCTCCTCCTCCTCCTCCTCCCGCCCTCCGCTCCTGTTGTCCCTCTTCCCCCCCCCTCCGCCAGCCCGCGCTCTCTCGACAGCTCGCCGGCGCCTTCCAGAACGCGGCACAGGGCCTGGAGAAAGCGCTGACGTTGGAGCCGTCGAACCCGATGGCGGTCGGGGCAGCCAAAGACAGTAGCAGGTGAGGCTCCCACCCCCCCTTTTCCCGGACCCCATCACGACGGAAGGTTTGTGGCAGTTGTCAAGACCTAGGGACCTTGTGCCCGGCCCCCGGACCGTTGGAATTATTGTTTCTCGTAACAAGGAGGTGTTGGAAGCCGCACTTCTTGTCGGCGTACAGTTGCTGGAGTCACTCCCACTTGCAAACATTGGGCACTGGAACCTCGGGCTTTGGAGATGGGGCTGGGACGGGGTTTCCATTTGGGCTGTGGAGATGGGGATGGGACGGGACAATTCTCAAACGGGGGCAGTTCGCGAGCGCGTGCGTGCGTGCGCATGGGTGCGCGTGCGCGTGCGCGAGTGCGTGACCGTGCACATGCGCGTGCGCGCGTGCGTGCCCGAGCGAGGTCGAGTCCGAGCGTCAGCGCCAGCCCGACCCCAAGCCCGAGCCCAGACCCCGAGAGGCGTCGGGGACTTGCAGCCCCACTATTGTGGAAGTGTCCTTGGCACCGTGCCCCGTCATAACATTCTACATCGTCCTCAATCCTCGTTTCTGTTCCTCCTCCATGTTCCTCCTCCTTCTCCTCGCTCCTGCCTCTCTCCTCATTGTACACTATGCCCTTTCCCCCTCTCCGCCTCCCACTATTCCTCCCCCCGCTCTTCCCCCTCCTTCCCCTCCTCCTCCACCTCCGCATCCTTCCCCCTCCCCTCCTCATCCCCCACCGCATCACGCTGCCCCTCTTCGCCCGTTCCTCCCAAGAGCATGATCTCGCCATCCCCGCGGCCTGGTCTGACCCACGAGGTGGTGCACAACGTCCTGCTGCTGAGGCGCCGCTCGGCCCGATATCTGGCCGCGCCGGCGGCTGTGGCCGCGGTGGAGTCCACGAGGAGGGGGACGGTGATGGGAGGGGGGGGGGGGGGAGTGCTCCTCCTCCTCCTCTCCTCCTCCTCCTCCTCCTCTCCTCCTCCTCCTCCTCCTCCTCCTCCTCCTCCTCCTCCTCCTCCTCCTCCCTCCTCCTCCTCCTCCTCCTCCTCCTCCTCCTCCCTCCTCCTCCTCCTCCTCCTCCTCCTCCTCCTCCTCCTCCTCCTCCTCCCCCTCCCCCCCTGGAGGTGGAGGAATGCTGGAGTGCCGCAGTGGACGGCGCGGGTCTCGCCGACCGCGCGGCCCGCGCGGGCGCCACGGCGGGCCGCCGAGCATTGGCGATGCCGAGGAGCACGAGGCAGCACGGCACATGCCCTCGGTCAACTTCGCGGCGAGACGCGTCGCGCGGCGTCCTCCTTGCTGCGATTGGCGTGGGCACTGCGCCTCTCGGGGTGCGCCGATGCCTGGAATGCCCATTGGAAAATTGGCACGCCCTTCCCCATGTACCCGCGACGGCACCGCGGCTGAGCCACTTCCTCATCGCCGTCGACATCAACGCCAAGATCGACACGGACCTGCGGCGGCGCTGCGGCTGCCCGCGCCTTCGACGGCACGGCGGCTGCACCAGCTTCACCAGCGCCACCGGCATCGGCACCGACATCGACACGGACTTGCGACGGCACTGCGGCTGGCCGCGCCATCTTGGCCTCGGCACGCGCCGAGGCCTTGGCCTCGAAGAACACCACGGGTGTTCCTGTGAGCCTTGCCCAGCGTCCGTCGGCACGGGACTGCTCGCTGCCGCGGCCTCGACCGAGGGAAGGGCAGTCATCCCCCACGGGCGCCCGATGCTGCCAGGCTCCTGGGCCTGCGCGTGGCCCCCTGACACGACCGCGTTGGTCTCGTCGCCGACGGAGGGCTCGATGAAGTGCCACTCGATCTCGCCGACCTGCACTCTCCGTTACACCGGTGGCGACATCACCGACGCATGCGGGGGCCACGCGACGCCCTCCGCGACGAAGCCGCCCACGGCGCGATCCCCCCGCGCGGCCTCTAGCTCGACCGCCCGAAGCTCGGCCTCCAGCAAGCGCCCCGCGCGGTCCGCACTGCTCGCAGCGTCGCTCTCGGACGACGACTGGGACTCGGCCAGAGCTGCACCAGCAGCGGCACCAGCCTGCACCGGTGGGCGGTCGCTGAAGGCGCCAGCGCCGCCTCGTGCTGTGCTGTTGTCCTCATCCTCGACGTGGATTGTCGAACGGAGGCTCCTCGCCGAACGGCACGTCGGTGACCTCGCAGCGCTGCTTCACCTGCAGGTTGTGGGGCTCCTCCGCGAGTGCCAGGAGCTGCCGGCGGCGGGTGCCCTGACCGCAGCAGTCGCCACTCCCATGAGGCGAGCCTGTGTCAGGAAGCCGCTCTGGCACGCGCCTGCGCCGCCCTCCAGCACATCGAGAGAGGGGGGGGGGGGGGGAACATCGTCGGTCAACGCGTCAGCCTCAACATATTTCACGGTGGGTGCTGATTCCTCCACGCCCAGCAGCAGCGCGCAGCGGCGAGCTCCTGCCCTTCAAGACGGTTTCGAGGGGGCCAGAGGCGTGCCCAGACGGCACCGCGGGCGGCTGCTTTGCGCCATCTAGTGGCGAGCCTAGATGGCCTCTGCGCCGAACTCGCGCGCCACGGCAGCTTCGGCCTTCATGCCGACCAGCTCCGCCATGTTCGCGGCCTCCATGATGGACGAGCAATGGGCGCCGAGCCGCTCGTTGAGCTTCCCGTAAGCCCCCCGGGAGCGGCGGAAGCGCTTGACCCTCCAGGCGATCGCGGACGCGCGCGTCTCGCCGAGGGCGACGCACCGCTGCCGCCGAAGGCTGCGGGCGAGCGTCCGCGCGCTCGCCGCCGCCCAAGCAGCGACACATCCAGAATGCCCCAACGCGTGTTGAACCAAGGCCTCTTGGCCTGCCGTGAGCTTGGCCCGGCTGAGAACAAATAGTTACGAAGTGACGAGGGCGGGGGAGAGGAGAGGTGGGAGAAGAAGGAGGAGGAAAGGTTACCAGTGTAAACCCAAAACGCACCAAGCATGTTGTTGCAACACACCCTCCCCCCCAAGTACCCTCTTCACGGGTCCCTGCAAGGCTCCCTTTCCATTGTAGCGAGTGCCCCATGTTTTCTTTTTTTTTTAAGAAAAAAAAAAGGAAAAACTTGACATTCCTAAATTGGACCTGCACAGTCCTGGGACCTCAACACCACGAATCAATCAAAGTCACTGCTGGGTCTTGACCATCATGAATCATGCCGGAAAGCTGCTCCTGGGAATTCAAAACCGCGGATCACCGCGGCAGTCCTGGCAATCCGCAATCGTGCCAGCGCACCGCTTCTGGGACTTCAACCTGACGAACCTTTAGAGCTGCTGTAAACGTTTGAACGAGTGTGCGCGGCGCTGAGGCGAGAGCCATAGCCTGAAAGACAAACGCATCCCATCCTTGGAAACGGCAGACCGTTACAAAGAATGCGCTGAGCGCTGAGGCGAGAACCACATGTTGAACACAGCCCGCCCTCCATCCCTGAAATTGGCACAACATGTTCGACAGAATGCGCGCGGCGTTAAGGCTAGAGCCACATGTTGAAAACGGCCCACCGTGCATTGTTGAACCTGTTGCAGATGTCGAGCTTCAGGATCCTAAACGGCGAGGAAGTATGATGCGAAAC